CTTTACACATTATTTATGAGATTTATATTAGAGATAAAGTTATATATATATACTACTTTACACATTATTTATGAGATTTATATTAGAGATAAAGTTATATATATATACTGCTTTACACATTATATTACTTTAACTTAAGTACAGTGTATGCACTACATTGTACTTTACACAGTGTACCAGTTCAGGATATGCTCTATCGTAACAACTACGTTTTGATAACTTTCTCCATCCACTACATTGTACTTTACACAGTGTACCAGTTCAGGATATGCTCTATCGTAACAACTACGTTTTGATAACTGTCTCCATCCAGGTTTCATCGTAAATACCTTAATAATACCCGGGATGAAAACGAGGAAAGACGGAAGGATGCGTACCTACTTTGGCAGAGTGGCTATGCTGCTGCACAACATTACCATAACGATCGACCCCGCCAATATAAATGTAGGCAAACATTCTTTGTCCTGGGATAACGAACGGCCGTTTTACACACATAACCTTCATCTACACATCTCAACAGACGATACTGATACGCGTGTGTTGCACGTGGATGTGCGGGACAGCATCACAATAAGTATTAAAAGACACTTAGCTGTGGACTCTACCCAAGTTAACTATCTGAATGTGTATCTTGATAAGGAGGAAGGATTATCTCGTCAAGCTGAAGGAGTACTTGGTAAGGTTACATGCTACAGTAAATGCACATATTTTAGCGGTATTAGTATTTTATCGCTTTCAGTGCTACATATATTGATTGAGCTAATTGAAGTTTCTGTTTATTGATTGTTATTGCATATATTGTGAGCGCGCCGATTCATCAACGAGTTTGTCTTTAAAACAATGTCGATAAAGCGCTAAAATGTGTGTCCGCTAAACTAGGAACGTTTACAGTATATACAATTATAAGTTTCAATTGCTCTTTTGTGTAAAGCTTTGTTAAAATTTAATTCCGTGTGCTATTTTTCTTATTTAAAGATTTTCCTATTTGTAGATTCTGCGTATGCCATTAACATATATTTGTGTTTTGTTATGTAAGAGTAATTACCTCAACCCTCTGAATAAGCATTTGTAATTTTGTTTAGATTGTGAAAATTCATCAGATTCAAGTTTTTCCTCGATATATTACCTGAACTACTCACTTGAACTAATGCCTTGAAGTTTGATACAATTGATAACAATAACAATTTGTTCTTTTTGCAGGACAATTACATCACAAAAAGATAAAAATAAAGGACATCATTTTAAATAAAAGAGGAGAAAAAATAGGAAAATTAATAGTACAGGAGGGTAGATCCCGGTCCAAAGTACGAACCAGGCTGAAAGAACGGCATGACGTCATTGATAAACATGTGGAAAAGTGTTGGACAGCTCATACTAAAATCCAGGGCCTTTTAACTGGAACATATTTCTGCAATAGACTGTACGATCCTTGATATTAACTGTGATATTATATACTGACTCGAATGGTGCTAAGGTATTGGAACAGAACATACAAGGGTTTTAAACACGTTGTAGCTGACTGTGAAAATGTAACATACAAATGTCGTTGTCATGGTACCGATTGTTTTATCATTTTGCAGACATCGTTTGTTTTGTTCATCCTAGATTACTCCCAGACTGAGTAATTAAACGAAGTGATGTTTCGAATCAAAGTATCATACGAGGACAAATTTAACTGGAGCAATGTCCATACATTATCTTCGAACATGTGCTTAGTGATTTTGATTATGGAAATGTTAAAAGAAAACGCTATCGCTTCTACAGTTTATGAGGCGAAGCGAGGTCGTGGTTTTATCTTTATACTTATACATATGTACTAACGTGAAGAGTTAAAACTCCATGCGTATACATTGTGAAATCCTACATTAGCTTTAGTTACAGGTTGAATTGTTTAAAACATAGTGTTTTGATAATGCATTACAAAATTGTACATTCATATTTATGTTATCAGAACATTTATTCTTAGCACTATGTAACTTTATGTATTGTTGTCTTGCCACGTGTTATATAGACGTACGTGTATAGGGCAAGTCTAGTTTTAAGCAATTAAGATCACAGTTATGCCAGTATCAAACGCAAAGACGATTTATTAATGTGGTATTCAATTATACTCATAGCAAAAGCTTATATAGATAAATAATGTATACTACCTATTAAACTGACATGATAGCATTTCCCTGTTATCATAACCTTAAGGGTAATTAGACTACAGTCATTTTGACTTGCTGTCGAAAGCTAGACGTAATTTTGCAAATTGTTAAAAATGTTGAGATTATAAACAGAAGTGATATGTTATATTGTTTAAAACTTTGTTTATTTTTGTCATTGTAAATATTTTAATAAATGCAATTTCATATTAAATGAATTTATTGATATATCATGACACAAAATGCAGTAAAATGAAAAACAATAGATGACACTATACACATTGTATATTCCTGAAATATAAACATGGCACAAAAATAGCTATAACATTCATTTACGTTGTAATTATCGAAGAAAGTTACATAGGTATTGTATCGTATAGCATATACTTACTCTTAAATATTAGCTACTTCAGCTATATAACCGAGTAGTGATACAAAAAAGAGTTCACAATATGTTTTCAGAGAGCTCAAAAACGATAAAATATATGTAAAAATAAAGGCTGAAATGAATCGAAAATTCAACAAACGACCTGGCCACTTAGACCTTCAAAACAAGTTAACACTATATGTATTTATTATTATTTAAACGATGATTGCATAATTGGAATTAACTTCGGCCTATAAACAAAGATGCTACATTTGTTGTACGAGAAATGTTTATGCATCTTACATCTAACTACATGTATATCGTGTATATTTGTTTACCGCACACACACTAGAGTTTAGAACATCCTTTCGAAAATGTTTATTCTATCATTAATAGTTTATGTTATTTGGTATATGCTTACAGGTATAGAGGCAATAAGTGTAGTAGCAGCGTACAGTACTGGATGGTTTTTACATATCACCATTACTCGAACATCTCTGCATCCGATTATTTAATTATATTATAATCATACACTTTAAAATTGTCTTTCACTATAGGTAATGACCTCGTAATGAATGTTTCAATGAAGGATTGAAGATCTGTACATATTTTGCCTGATTTCTTTTATTATTTTTGTGATTACAATTATACCACCATCAAAACAAAGCAGTATCGACAACATGAAGAACCAATGACCGAGTGTTCTTAAATTGTACGGAAAAAATAATAAAGTGGTGCTTACTCTATGATTATCGAGTAATTCACAGAATTTCTTATCCTTCTTTGATACGTAAACACGAATGAAGGGTGGCAGAACAAATATAAACAACACAAATTTCGAAATAATGGAACATATGTAGCATTTTGCTTTCGTCTATACGTAGTTCTATCGAAATAACAAAATATGTAGATTTCGGACTTCGTCTTATAATTAAAGTAAACTTATTTATTCAACAACAATTGTTAATTCAGTTATATCAACTTATATGAATCACTGTTGGTGCCCGGATGGTAGAGTAGAGCGCAGGGAGTCTTTCGTCAATAATTCCTACTTTAATGTATATAATAGCACATACACTTACCACTTCCAGAGATTGGTTTGTTGGGGTTTTACGTCCCATAAACAACGATGGTCATTTAAAGACGTGCCAGGTCTTCCAAATACTATAACTGTATAGTAAGCATGTTTGATATTATCAATTATCAATAAACTGCGTTTTAAGCAAAGTCAATACTGATAATTAAAATTAATTTACCAAATCACTTGACACACGTCTTTCAGGGCTGTTTCGGTAGGGTAATACTGTATGTTTCATACATTTTGCAAGTTACGTACTCTCCAGTTTATTCGCAAAGAAAGGCCATCTTTGCGAAGACAGTCAATCCGGAACAAAGATATCTTGCGAATATATATTCAGACCATTTAAAACATGGCATTTATCTCTGTTCACTCTTTTCTTTAAATACATTAATTATAGATGTTTTGAAGCACAAAGGCGAAGTCATGTTGTCTCGACAATTAGAACTCTCGAAATTGAATTGCTTTGAAGTAACATAACAAGTTTTTGTGCGTTGCGCTAAGTAAAGAAACCTTTTAGTTCGAACGTTTTCAATTTTCCTCTAAAGAGACCATCTATGTCATGAATCGCATTCCAACACATGAAATTCTCGTCTGATATAAAATCATGTTTCATATGGAGTCGGGCGTGAAAGTGGGAAACAGTGGCATCGTCCTCAACCCGAAACCGTCCGATTGTCCTTCCATTCTTCTCCGTAATTTTCCTGAGCGAAACTTTCTTCTTTACTAAGTGACCTGTCACAAAAAAAAATGTCTAGTAGTACAAACGTATTAAACTAGTTGGACGCTTTTTAAGTGTTTTTCAAAGCAATCATATTTTCCACCCCATAGTTGGATTCGGCGCAATGGGAAAAATAGTAAAAATGAAGTGCATTTCATAAAAAAAGGATTCTTTGATTTGTGTGTAAAAAGGAAAGCAGACTCAGCTATATCGTCCAACAAGCAGTCGGTACAAGGTTTTTCTTTTTCTTTCCATCTGCTGCGTCAAATTATTTTCTTATTTCCTATTTCCCTTAAGTTTTTTCTTTGTTCGTCATGTCTTCCTTTTTATTTAGACTTTGTCGGATTCATTTTATGATTAACGCATTTTTCTGGAAAGTTATGAGTTTTTCGTGCGTTTAACATTTTTATTGAATGTGGTGGATTGTTGTATACGAGATGATGTAAACACTAGTCTTACCCAATATCCCTGAAGAACTAGACGACAACCCTGCATCGCTCTCTATGTGGACGTTAAGGTAATCTATCGGCTCATCGATCGAGGACAGATGTCTTCTGATGACCACTATGACGTCATAGTCGGTTTTAATGGTCAGGATGTTCCCGTCATCACTGGCTTGAAGGAAGAACTTCCCTTTGGCAACGGGTGTTCCGTCCGTCCACTCTGAGAAACTCGAATTCGTGATGATCTGTCTAGGTGTAACAACGATAATAGTCCCATCAACGCGGATGAATATCTCGCCCATGTATGTCTTCAAATGCATATCCTCCCGCAGTATACCAGTTGGAACGATCGCGGCGTTGATAACCATTGCTGTAAGGGTAGACAGTCCAGTTGTGAATGAACAAAATAACTAGTTCAGAAATGTTAACGGGAACCTTTTTCATTCTGTGGAATTCTTCGCTCATTTCGTGTTTAATTAGTATGAGCAAAGATATCAACACACGAAACATGGTGACATACACCCAATAGTATTGTGACTACATTACCAACGCAAACAAATTCTACATCGAAAATAATTAGACGAGTACGAAGCGCGAGCAATTTTTACATAAAAGGAACATTCAATAAAATATTCACTTTCGAAACGTATACATGAAACATTCACTGGTAGAACTAGTTATGATGCAACTATTTCGATATAACAAATGAAATCCAAAACAATGTCCCGACTTAGATCGTTTTGAGTAAAAAAGATTGTTTGAGAAAAGGTATTAACTTATATTACTGCATAGCGCTTTAAATTCGCGGGATCAAAATACAGTTGCGGGATCGTATTCATTTAATATTCGCGGGAGTTGAATTTCGCTGTGAACCCGAATGCACTGTGTCTTGCAAAGTCTTTTGAGTGTCATCATTAAAGGGTTAAACCTCGAAATACAGGTAAACCGTTTGAAAACACTGATCCCGAGCGTCGTCATACGCCAATGGTTTCACTCGAAAGAAAATCAAATGTGTATGTACCTTTGAAGGAGTACACTGTAACCTATTAATCATCTACTGTGTACACATAAATATGTTGTGGCCACTTATATGTAAGTGTTGTTTTTACATGGACTGCCCAGTTGTCCGGTGATAATCTGATTCAAGTTCATTTAAACTTGCATAGCAGCGTTGGGTTATAAGTATTTTCAATGTGTTGTGATAAGGTCCGTAAAAGTGGTTAACATTTTCGATAATTTCGCTGGTGTTTAGAATTCGTGGATATTAGTCAAAGCGCGAATATAAGGAAATTTTAACTCCCGTGAAATATAACCGCTATACAGTATGTGTGGTCAATGCATTCCTGATGCAAAAAAGGGAGGTAAGCCTTCTTCAGATAAATACAAATAGGATCTACTATTATAAAAACATTGATTTAAAACAAAGTCGATTGTGGTACTACGGTACTAAACAGCAACTTACAGGCCTTACTTTCTTCGGTGCCGTGGTACTACGGTACTAAACAGCAACTTACTGGCCTTACTATCGTCAGTGCCGTGGTACTACGGTACTAAACAGAACCTTACAAGGCTTATTATATTCTGTGCCTTGGTACTAAGGCACTAAACAGCAACTTACAGACCCTACTACCTTCAGTGCCGTGTTACTACGGCACTAATCAGCAACTTACAGGCCTTATTATCTTCAGTGCCGTGGTACTAAGGCACTAAACAGCAACTTACAGGCCATACTATCTTCGGTGCCGTGGTACTAGGGTACTAAACAGTAACTTACAGGCCGTACTATCTTCGGTGCCGTGGTACTAAGGTACTAAACAGCAACTTATAGACCTTACTATCTTCAGTGCCGTGGTACTAAGGTACTAATCAGCAACTTACAGGCCTTATTACCTTCATTGGCGTGGTACTACAGTACTAAACAGCAACTTACCTAAACAGCAACTTACAGGCTTTACTATCTTCGGTGCCATGGCACTACGGTACTAAACAGCAAATTACAGACCTTACTATCTTCGTTGCCGTGGTACTACGGTACTGAACAGCAACCTACTGGCCTTACCACCTTCGGTGCCGTGGTACTAGGGTCCTAAACAGTAACTTACAGGCCGTACTACCTTCGGTGCCGTGGTACTAAGGTACTAATCAGCAACTTACAGACCTTACCATCTTCAGTGCCGTGGCACTAAGGCACTAAACAGCAATTTACAGGCCTTATTATCTTCAGTGCCGTGGTACTAAGGCACTAACTGTGCCTTGGTACTAAGGCACTAAACCGCAACTTACAGGCCTTACTATCGTCGGTGCCATGGTACTACGGTACTGAACAGCAACCTACTGGCCTGACCATCTTCGGTGCCGTGGTACAAAGGCACTAAACAGCAACTTCCAGGCCTTACTATCTTCGGAGCCATGGTACTACGGTACTAAACCGCAACCTACTGGCCTTACCACCTTCGGTGCCGTGGTACTAAGGTACTAAACAGCACCTTACAGACCTTACTATCTTCAGTGCCGAGGTACTAATGCACTAAACAGCATCTTACAGGCCTTACTATCTTCTGTGCCATGGTACTAAGGTACTAAACAGCACCTTACAGACCTTACTATCTTCAGGGCCGTGGTACTACGGTACTAACCAGCAACTTACAGGACTTACTATCTTCGGTGCAATGGTACTACGGTACTAAACCGCAACCTACTGGCCTTACCACCTTCGGTGCCGTGGTACTAGGGTCCTAAACAGTAACTTACAGGCCGTACTACCTTCGGTGCCGTGGTACTAATGCAATAAACAGCAACTTACAGGCTTTACTATCTTCAGTGCCGTGGTACTAAGGGACTAAACAGTTACCTACTGCCCTTACCATCTTCGGTGCCGTGGTGCTAAGGTACTAAACAGCAACTTCGAGGGCTTACAATCTTCGGTGCCGTGGTACTAATGCAATAAACAGCAACTTACAGGCTTTACTATCTTCAGTGCCGTGGAACTAAGGCACTAAACAGCAATTTACAGGCCTTATTATCTTCGGTGCCATGGTACTAGGTACTAAACAGCAACTTCCAGGCCTTACTATCTTCGGAGCCGTGGTACTACGGTACTAAAAAACAACTTACTGGCCTTACTATCTTCGGTGCAGTGGTACTACGGTACTAAAAATTCACTTACAGACCTTACTATCTTCAGTGCCTTGGTACTAAGGCACTAAACAGAAACTTACAGGCCTTACTATCGTCGGTGCCATGGTACTAAGGTACTACACAGCAACTTACAGGCCTTCCTATCTTCGGTGCCATGGTTCTACGGTACTAAACAGCAAATTACAGACCTTACTATCTTCAGTGCCGTGGTACTGCGGTACTAAACAGCAACTTATAGACCTTACTATCCTCAGTGCCGTGGTACTAAGGTACTAATCAGCAACTTACAGGCCTTATTACCTTCATTGGCGTGGTACTACAGTACTAAACAGCAACTTACCTAAACAGCAACTTACAGGCCTCATTATCTTCGGTGCCGTGGTACTACGATCTTCGGTGCCGTGGTACTAGGGTACTAAACAGCAACTTACCTAAACAGCAACTTACAGGCCTTATTACCTTCATTGGCGTGGTACTACAGTACTTAACAGCAACTTACAGGCCTTATTACCTTCATTGGCGTGGTACTACAGTACTAAACAGCAACTTACCTAAACAGCAACTTACAGGCCTTATTACCTTCATTGGCGTGGTACTACAGTACTTAACAGCAACTTACAGGCCTGACTATCTTCGGTGCCATGGCACTACGGTACTAAACAGAAACATACAGGCCTTACTATCTTCTGTGCCATGGTACTAAGGTACTACACAGCAACTTACAGGCCTTATTATCTTCAGTGCCGTGGGACTACGGTACTAAACAGCAACCTCCTGGCCTTACCATCTTCGGTGCCGTGGTACTAGGGTACTAAACAGCAACTTATAGACCTTACTATCCTCAGTGCCGTGGTACTAAGGTACTAATCAGCAACTTACAGGCCTTATTACCTTCATTGGCGTGGGACTACAGTACTTAACAGCAACTTACAGGCCTGACTATCTTCGTTGCCATGGTACTAGGTACTAAACAGCAACTTGCTGGCCTTACTATCTTCAGTGCCATGCTACTAAGGCACTAAACAGCAGGTTACAGGCCTTACTATCTTCAGTGCCTTGGTACTACGGTACTAAACCTCCACTTACAGGACTTACTATCTTCGGTGCAATGGTACTACGGTACTAAACCGCAACCTACTGGCCTTACCACCTTCGGTGCCGTGGTACTAGGGTACTAAACAGCAACTTACAGTCCTTATTATCTTCGGTGCCTATCTTCAGTGCCGTGGTACTAATGCAATAAACAGCAACTTACAGGCCATTCTATCTTCGGTGCCGTGGTGCTAAGGTACTAAACAGCAACTTATAGACCTTACTATCCTCAGTGCCGTGGTACTAAGGCACTAAACCGCAACTTACAGGCCTTACTATCGTCGGTGCCATGGTACTAAGGCACTAAACCGCAACTTACAGGCCTTACTATCGTCGGTGCCGTGGTACTACGATCTTCGGTGCCGTGGTACCACGGTACTAAACAGCAACTTATAGACCTTACTATCTTCAGTGCCGTGGCACTAAGGCACTAAACAGCAATTTACAGGCCTTATTATCTTTGTTGCCATGGTACTACGGTACTAAACAGAAACATACAGGCCTTACTATCTTCGTTGCCGTGGTACTACGGTACTGAACAGCAACTTGCTGGCCTTACTATCTTCAGTGCTGTGGTACTACGGTACTAAACCGCAACCTACTGGCCTTACCACCTTCGGTGCCGTGGTACTAGGGTACTAAACAGCAACTTATAGACCTTACTATCCTCAGTGCCGTGGTACTAAGGCACTAACTGTGCCTTGGTACTAAGGCACTAAACGGCAACTTACAGGCCTTACTATCGTCGGTGCCATGGTACTAAGGTACTACACAGCAACTTACAGACCTTACTATCTTCAGGGCCGTGGTACTAAGGCACTAAAAAGCAACTTACAGGGCTTACTATCTTCGGTGCCATGGTTCTACGGTACTAAACAGCAAATTACAGACCTTACTATCTTCGTTGCCGTGGTACTAAGGCACTAAACGGCAACTTACAGGCCTTACTTTCTTCGGTGCCGTGGTACTAGGGTACTAAACAGTAACTTACAGGCCGTACTACCTTCGGTGCCGTGGTACTAGGGTACTAAACAGTAACTTACAGGCCGTACTACCTTCGGTGCCGTGGTACTAGGGTACTAAACAGCAACTTACCTAAACAGCAACTTACAGGTCTTACTATCTTCGGTGCCATGGTACTAGGTACTAAACAGCAACTTGCTGGCC